ATACCTGTGTTACCACTAACATATAAATGAATTCACAGGGGAACAGTCTGACTTTAAAAGTGTTTCTAAAAAAATGACTTAAAAATCTTAAGGGTAGGCATTAAAAATTATGGTAGGTAGAGTTATTGGAAACAAATATGATTTTATTAGGCCTTAACATGTTAATGTCACTGAAAAAGTTGTTACCTGTTTCTACCATGTATATTTAACAGAGTTGTCACTCTGTGGATGATTAAACTATTGTAACAAAAGTTTTATAATGATGAGGAAGATAATGAATTAGTGTTTCATGTCCAGTAGCAAATATTAGATGCATATTATCAGGATGAGAACATGATAATGTCTATATGATATGAATATGAAAATATTTTTGTACTTTACTGACTTATTTTTAACTTGCCCATGTATTGATATGTTGTTCATCTTATGTTTAGTCTGTCAGCACTGTCACTGAGTACTATGAGGAAGCTGAAGAAATGAATTAGTAAGGGTGGGGGTAATGTCACACAGCATTTACATCAAATAATATCTGATTTTGGATGTGTGTATTTGAAGTTCAATGATGACATGGCAAATTAAAGGGAAATAATAAATAAATGCATTTTTGGGTAAAGTTAAACAAAGCTTTGGTTTCTTATTTCAATTTTGGAATAGTCCTTTATTAAATTTGGTAACGTGTCATTATTAATGCTTAAAAATTGGTTATTTATTTCTATTGCAGGTCTGTGTCAGATTTATTGTCAGGACCAAAGTTTGATGTGAATTATGCCCATGGTAGACCAAACAGAAATCTCTTACATATTGCTGCTAAGTAAGTTAATAAAGTGTTCAGAAAAATAAACTTGAGAATGAGACAAAGGGAAGTAACTCAAACTTATTTAATAAATCTACATTATTTCTCTCACTCAGAGCAACACACATTGTGACTTTAAATTCAATGTGCTAAGTTTTGTACTTCAGAACTTAATTTCTGTGTATGAATTGTCCTGATATGTGGACCAGTATTTTGATAAAATTGCAGTCTCATGAAGTGTTGTGTCATATTGGTACTCTAAATATTTTAAATGGATAGAAACTAAACAAAGCACAAAAATCCAACATGATAGAGAGAATTTTAGTGTTTAATAAAATGAAAGTTCAAAGACCTTTTAGATTATCTTTTGTTTCGTCACACCTCTTTAGAGATAAGTGATATTGATACATTGCTCTTTTGAAATGTTTTCTGTAGGTTGTGTACAAATTTATTCAATTCTTTTTATTTTTTAGTTGTGGGAGTTATGAGTGTCTTAATATTTTGTTGAAGAAAGGAGCCAATGTAAACTTTCAAGATATGTCAGGGTGTACTCCATTACACCTAGCTGCTAGAAATGGGTTGGTATTTTAAACACATAGAAGATGCTTAATCTTCTTATATCCGTGTCCTTACTTTATAATAAAGTATAATTCATGAAACCAAAGATATTTTATTCCAAAGGGAATTTATTTTCAAAATTTAGTTTAAATTAGCTTTTGTCCAATTCAGCTGCAGGCCTGTTTCAAGGATAATCATTATCAAAATTTAATCTTGTTTCACTTTTGAAAATTTTATATTATAATTCGCCAAACTCAAACAAATATAAATTATTTAACAAAGAAAACAACACATCAATAGGATAAGTGTGTATACAGGTGTAGCAGCCTTTAATATATTTGTTACAATAAATATTCTTCAAACTAATGTCACTACACAAAACACCGGCATGCACTACCAATCCAGTTATATAAAGCATGAACACAATCAAAATATATCTACAAAAGAGGAAATACATATTAATTCATTTTAATATATAAAATATTTACCAGCACAAACAATAATCAAATCAAAATTTATTCATAATTACTTAATCATGCTTATCAGGAATTTCAAGAGCTACATATACAGTGATATTGTTTGCCTCAAATTACATCCGAAATTCAGCTTTTTCCCCTAGAGAAAATTCCCAATTACTAAAAAAAATGGCTTAAAATTCCTCCCAATAAGTTTTACATTTTTCCCAAAAGTGATGGCAATGATAGTAATGAATGTAAATTTCGTAGTGATGTTATTGTTTTGATATTATGAAAGCACTTTTGAGATCCAGGTTTCTGATCAGAATCATCACAGTGTTTGTAACATGTGGTTTTCAATGCATTAAGTATCATCATTGTTTCCGTCTCTTTCCCTCCCCAAAAAGTACCTTTCAGGTTGAAAATGTCTGACAATCAAAATATACGTGATAAAACTACAAAAAAGACAGTCAAGTTTAGCAAAAATCAGAGATTTGTTTTAAAAAAAAAATAAACCAATTTCCCAATTTCAATAAAAATTATGCATTTTTCCCAAAAAAAAACGGTAGAGGTATTTTTGAAAAAAGACAACAATATCACTGATATACCTGTAAAAGTACTTAAAACAGTGCTTTGTAAAAACACACACTTGTGTTTTATATAGTAAACAATAGTGAACAATCGCTTGACCGTTACTACATCAAGTGACCAATATTTTTGATGATTACAATCACTTAAAAAGTCTTTACACCATTACCATGATTACAGTAAAACATATTCTTTAAATAAACATTATTCTAAGAAAGATAAAAAAGAGAATAAAACAAAGGGAAGTAACTCTAAATTTAATTGCAGCAAGTATTACCAATATATTTTTATGTAAAACAATTATGGTTAATTATGTCTATTCAAATTTTGTGGATTCATTATTATTTGTTGGATACCAATTTTCATGGATTTAGTGGGTACAGGTGAACCACAAATTTAAATGTTCAATGAATTACACATTTTCTATAAGGTTGTATGCAGACTTTGGGAAAACCACGAAATTAAATATCCACAAAAATGCAAGTTCTACTCAATCCATTAAAATTAGCACCCAAGAATATGAATCCACAGTAGACAATACTTCATTGGTGGTCTTATGTTAATCTGTGTGTCCTGTGTTCTATCCATGACCAGGTCAAACCAAAGACTGAAAAAATAGTGTTTACTGCTTCTCCTCTAAAGATTCAGCATTTAGTAGGAAGAGCAAAGACTGGTTTGCTCAGAGTCAGAGAATAATGTTGTCCTGTTAGGGTTACATGTCTTCCTACAGACTGTTATCTTGTGAACAAGCACATTAGAATTAATTAGCCTGTCAGTCTAATACAGAGCAGGGATCATATTCATATCACTTTAACATGTTTATGTAATAGTTGCCATTGAATATTAAACACCCTTACAATATCATCACTATACATCATCCTGAACATGCATGAAATATTTGCCACTGGATTCTCAGCAACCAACAATCAATCAATCAATCATCATTATACAAATAGACAAATAAACACTTTATTGATTTTTCAGCCAAAGAAAGTGTATCAATAAGTTGCTGGAATATAAAGCAGATGTGAACATCAGAAATAATGAAGGCTTGACCACAGTAAGTTGTTAACTATAGTGTTTCTTTTCACTAAGGGTAATTTAGTTATTAGAATTATTAACTTTTGACATTTAAAAAAGAAAGTATGATTGCAATTCTTACATTTGGTCCACCTTTTTATAAAAATCTTGAAAATCTAACAAGATGAACAGGTGAATAAGGGGAAATCTACATGTCTTTGTATGGACCGTAAGCTTGAGCAGATGAGGTACATACATAGTGTTTTAAGGTAATATATGAACAAAAGTTAAAAAATTTAAGAGAAAAATATAGATCCCACCACTGCAATTAGTGTGTTATATGATATTTCTTCACTCGAGACAGTTAAATTTTAATTTTTTGAATAATTAGAATTTAACTGTTGAGTGGAGAAATCTCATAATACACTAGTTATAGTGGTGGAATCTGTTTCTCTAATGATTTTTGTCCTTCCTTTTCAAAGATTTGCAGAACGATGTGTTTTTTATATGTGACGTCATTAGGCATGGTCGCCTTTTTTCATGACGTCACAATAGGAAATTCAGAAGAAAAATAAGGAAATTTGACATCATAATTAAATTTCGACCAATCATTTGCAGAGAACAGATATTTCACTAGTGAGGAGAAATATTTTCTCACACCGATCAAGAAATGTGAAAATAGCACAAAAATTAGAAAATAAACAGTAAAATATCCATAAAAAAATCAAATCGTCCAAAAGAAAAGACAAGTAAAATGGATGAACATGACCTATGGACTACAGGAATAATTGTTTAACATTTATCTAGTTGATACTTTAATATGAAACACTAGATAAATATTATTAGATATTAACCATTTGAACAAAGTTTTTTCTATCCCAATCCAGGCTGCTTGCTTGTAAAAATCAAATGTACTGATGTAAAAATAATTAAAGAACTGCTAAACCAATGCCTCCTAAAATTTGTGCTGATAGAGTTCCCTTAACAAATGCTTAAGTGGATACCAGATGGTATGCAGGGTTGTCAGATTAAAAAAAAATTAAAAACTGTTAAATTGACAACATCGATTAAGGAAACTGTAATGCTTTAGGTCATGAATAAAATTTGCAGTTTACTTAAGTCAATTTAGCAGTGATGTAAAAAAGGGAAAAAAAGTAAGAAATAAAACCAAGGCCTTCAAAGAAAAACAGACAACACCATGGCTGAAAGGAAAAAATGACAAGACAAACAACAGTCCCCCAAAACAATACAAACTAAAGTCAAACCTGCTATACAGGTCACCCCTATTAAGCAAAAACCTGTCTTCTCGTCCCTTTGCATATGAACCTCAATTTAAAGGTCACCTCTTAATATATGTTTAGCATTTTCTTGTCCAGACGTAAGTCTTCATATACAGGTTTGACTTTACACAGAAAATGAAGGATTGAATCAAACGAACCTCAACAAAAACAACAGTTGAAGACACTTCTGCAGGTTATGTATCCTGCTCCATATATAGCTCCTGTTATGTTGTTTGTGAAGAAGGAAAAATTGTGACATAATTTGTTTACAAGATACACATTTGTTTTTTTAACCTGTAGATTCATTGGTTGGCAGTGAATGGAAGGACAGAATTGTTACACGATTTGTTTATGTACACACAAGATGTGGATGTTGAGGTGAGAATTTTCTACAAATAAATAGCTTCCTGAAATTTGTAATCTGGCCTCCTGTCAGCATGCTATAACATGTGACAGGATTTCACATTCATCGCTCATCAATTCAATGTTTACCAAATATTTATACATTATTCTAACATATTCTCAACATATAAGAATTTTTTGTTGTATTTTTCTATGGAACTACAAAAAAGCTTCCTGAAATTTGTAATCAGGCTTCATGTGAACATGCTTTAACATGTAAAGCAATTTCAGATTCATTCTTCTTTAACTTCCTGTTTACCAAATACATAAAGCGGGGGTATTATAAATGAGTATTGGTCACAGTTCCACTTATTTTGTTCTTTTTTTTTTTGTCTGGTGTCATTTTCCATCTATACAATTCTGCTATTTTAGAAGGATGGTTATTTATGGAGAATTCTAACATGATGTTCTTCAAACGCTTTGAGTACACACCCGTGGTAAAATATGAATATATTGTTTGGGCTGTTCCAATCGTACTCCCGCGTCATATGTTTTTTTATGAATGAGCTACCCGACGTCATAGAACGATGACGTAAGAATATAAGCATTTTACGGGAAAATACACGCTTGTGAAACTGAAAATCATCACAACAAGGAAACGTAAACAAACGATGCAAAAATGTGTTATATAAGCAATTTTTGTATACATATAAGACATATAAGTACAATTATCATTTAGATTCATCCAAACCTATCTAAATATGTTATTGTAAATAGTTTAAGCATGTCATTTATTCAGTTTGCTCCGGTCTTTTACGTCAATTTAATAGTGCGTTTTTTATATGGGAACGGCAAATAATGCCTTCATCTAGAGCGCTTCGATCCATAACAATTGCAGTATTTGTCCTATTAGAATCGAAATAATTCATGGGGGCTTGAATATATTGTGATTTTACCACGGGTTGTCCCTTTATGCCGATATTTTACCCCTCGCTATCGCTCAGGGTAAAATATTTGTCATAAAGGGCCAACCCGTGGTAAAATCACGATATATTCAAGCCCCCATGAACTATTTCTTAATTGTTGAAGAAAGCACATTTTGTATCAAGCTTTTACAACCCTATATAACATGTATAAAATCACAAGAAAAAAGCATTTAATTCTTACAGTTCTAAATTTAATTTTTTTCTCCCTATAAAATTGAAAATTGATATGGGGAATGTGTTAAAGGGACAACAAACCTGACCAAAGAGCAGAAAACAGTCGAAGGCCACCAATGGGTCTTCAACACAGTGAGAAAATCCAGCACATTGAGACCAGCTTCAGCTGGCTCCTTAACAAAAATGCGTATTAGTTCAGTGAAAATGGATGTCATACTAACTCCAAACCATATAACATCTATAAATGACTTAAAATTAAAAAAAACATACAAGACTGAAAAAGGTCAGAAAAAATGTTTGCGGGGTTAAACATGTTTTGTGAGATCTTAACCCTCCCCCTATACCTGTAGCCAATGTAAAATAAATAAAAACACAGCAATATGAGCAGAAAAAACTCAGTTTAAAAGAAGTCTGAGTCCGATATCAGAATAGGTAACAAAAGAAACTAAGCAAAATGACAATGATACATAAATTAACAAAGGACTGCTAGCAGTTACTGACATGCCAGCTCCAGACCTCAATTAAACTGATTAAAAAATTATGTCTTCATCACATGAAAATCAAGCACAATCCCTCCCCCTATGCATTGTTGTGCAGTTCAGGGGGAAGCAAATTTTATTGGGAAATAGAAACTAATTTTGGAATTATTATTGATTGTTGTCAGCCAATCGAAAGTATGATTCTTGTGAAACATTCATGTAAAGTTATCATTTCCCTTTACAGGATGCTCAAGGACAAACAGCTTTACATGTTGCCTGTCAGAATGGTCACAAATCTGTAAGTAACATTGCTTACGTATGTATCATAAAAAATCTATATTTCATTAGGAGTGTTTTGAATGGACTGGTTGACATTTTTTGTCCATGAGCTTATTTTTCATTTATATTCAGGATGACAGCAAGTGTAATTATAAATAAAAAGTATATTAAGATAAGAAAATATAAGGAAAATTCTTATGTCATTAGAATCTGAGAAAATGTGAGCTAGTATGAGCAAGTGTGATTGTACAATAGGGTGCTTCACTAGTTTCTCATAAAGGGTGCTATAAACAGTTTCGTATAAAAAACTAGGGGTTATTCCCAGACTAAAAATAACCATGGAGGGAAATCCCTTTTTATTCATATAATTGGTGAAAAAGTATCATGTTTTTTGTATTTGATTGTATAAAATAGTTAATTAGCTTTCAATTTAAACAGGTTAAATGATTAAAATAATTTTAAAAATTAGATTAAATATACATGTTTTGAGGGGAGACAACACTGTAAACATCCTGTTGTTTTGGCAGTGAAAATTGAAAACTTATTTGCAGCCACTGTAGCTCTTTTCGAAGCAGGAAACCGTACCCTGAAACATGATTTTTATTAAAGGCCAGGTAAAAACCTATGAATTTCATACAGTTTTGATTATGGAAAATGTGCCTGTATCATGTTTACATGGGTATGCACATCAGCTGATTTCAGGTTTTTTATGTTCAGATTAGGCAACTTTTTCCCCATTTTCTCTGGATAGAACTTTTTTACTATACTAAAAGTACACTATATTTTTATTTCAATATAAACTAAAGACAATTCTGATTCCAGTGATATCTAGTTTTATACAAGTATCTTTATTAACCATTCCACCACTAAGGGTCACTTAGACATGGTCCCTTAAAATATGAAGTCATAGAAAAAAACTGTTGATTGCACCCAAAGAGTTTGTGACATGTGATTGATTGATAATCTTAAGACTTGGACTCGAAGGTGTACTGACTGACTAGGTGTAGCATTGTTATACCTCTACTCTAGGAGTGGAGGCTTTATCGCATTTAACATGTGTGTTGGTTGGTTTTGAATCCATTTGTCAGTCTTTCCAACAAGTATCACATCACACTTTTCTCAGGTGATACTGAACATAATGACTTCAAATTTTGTCAGCTGCATCAATGTGATAGGTTGTTATGTCTGTCCAATATTTTCAGATATGTCAGACACCTAATTCCTGTTTGCTTATACCTAAATAATTTAGTATGTGGATTGAACTTAAAATATTTTACCACATATTTCTCATTTATAACTGAAAAGAATGACTTTATGTATGGTTAGCAGCTTTACAGTGATGAGCTGTAACGTGTTATTGCTTTCTTGATTTGTCAGACACCTGCTTCCAGTTTTCCAATACTTTGAATTCTTCAAGAAGTTGATAGAACTTAGTCACACATTTCTCGTGTGGTAATAAACAGAATGACTTCAAACTTGGTCAGCATCTTGAGCATGACAAGTTGTAATGTGTGAGATCTTTTCAAATCTGTCACATACTTGCTTCTTGTTTGCCGATAGTTTAAATATTCAGTATGTTATTGTGGAATGAACCTTTTTGTCACCTATTTCTCAGGTACTACTGAACAGAATGACTTTGTATTTGGTCAACAGCTTTGCAGTCATGAGTTGTAACATGTGGGCGCTTTCTGGATCTGTCAGAAACTCACTTCCTGTTTTTTCGGACATTTTAAATTACAGATAAGGGTATGCTTATCATGACATTGTATGCATTCTTGATGTTTTGTGTGGGTTGTGGCATTGATTTTTGACCTAGCATAAATTTTTTTTTTTAACCTTTTTTGTCATTGATGATTATATCCCCATAAGCAAATTTGTTATTTATGAAATTTGTTTAATCACTATTTTGATAACATATACTTAGAATATTTAAGAATTCATAATATAGTACAGAAATATATTACTGTCATAGTAAAGAAGGAATATGGTATATTAATTGCTGACAGAAAATCCCTACATGAAATTTGAATAAAAGCAAAAGGAAAGGAACAGTTGTTTAATTGCTTTTCTTCATCTGAATATATAACGAGGCCTCTAACTGAGAACAATAGCTTTCTAATCCTACAATAACATAAAAAAAATACCATTTACATGAACAGTTATCAAAGGTTAAGGTTACTATAAAGGAAGTATGTTTGCTACTTTGTTAAATTGTAATGCTAACAGATAATTTTTTTTGACAGACAGTTGTATGTTTACTTGACCATGGAGCAGAAATCAACAGACCAAATCATTATGGATGGATGCCTTTACATTTTGCCTGCAGGTAAAACTGTTTATTAGTTTGCTAGTTTGTGTATACAGACACTTTTGCATTTGCACCAATTGCCACTTCATTTTTCGAAAATTTTCGAAAATTTTCATAACAAATAACTCATCATAAAAATTGTTCATGTTTTAGAACAAATAAACACTATTAACTCCCTTTGTCCTTTATTTGAGAAAATAAAAACATGAAGAATATACTGTAAATTCATTATAATTCATTGGATACTTAATTTTCGATATTTTTTGGGTATAGGTGAACCAGGAATTTAAATGTTCAACAAAGTACAAATTTGCCTTATGCTCGGATGCAGACTTTGGTAAAACATATCAAATATCACTAAAAATACAATTTTCTCTTAAAGTAACCTAAGAAAATAAATGAATCCACAGTAATTTGAATACTATATTTTTTCAGTCATGGTCAGCATGATACAGCTACAATATTATTACAAAGAGGAGCAGTATTTCTACCAGATAAAAATAATAAAACACCACTGGATTTTTGTATAGAGGTATGTATTGTTAGGGATGAACTGATGTCTACCAGACAAAAACAAGAAAATACTTCTTGATCCATGTATTATTTTTTTCCAATTGATTAACACACATGGTCGAGTCCCACACAGATACTATAAACATTAGGTCATTTGTAGTTGGTATATGGAATAGTTGTAAGGTGAACATTTCTGACTGACAAGTTTTATCTGACCTCAACCTAAATTTCACGGGTACAATTCTTGCCAGATTCTCGCTTGACGGAGTCAATAAGCGAGACATAGGTATGCTGTTTCCGGCGTCGTCGGCGTCGTCACCAATGTATTAGTTTGTGATTAGGTCTAGTTTATGGTGAACAATGGTGAACCACTAGTGGTAAGTCGAAGATATTTGGTATGCAGTTGTATTAGTATTGGCACATCTCATTACCATGGAGATTATTTGGCCCTGCCCCCTCAGTTATGGTCTATTGACTTTGAAATTTATGCTTAGTTTTCATGTATTAGTTTGTGATTAGGTCAGTTTATGGGGAACCACTAGTGGTAAGTTAATGATAGTTGGTATGCAGTTGTATAAGCATTGGCATATCTCATTTCCATGGAGATTATTTGACCCCACCCCCTCAGTCATGGTCTATTGACTTTGAAATTTTTGCTTAGTTTTCATGTATTAGTTTGTGATTAGGCCAGGTTATGGGGAACCACTAGTGGTAAGTTAATGATAATTGGTATGCAGTTGTATAAGCATTGGCATGTCTCATTTCTCTAGAGATTATTTGGCCCCGCCCCCTCAGTCATGGTCTATTGACTTTGAAACTTTTGCTTAGTTTTCATGTATTAATTTCTGATTAAGTCAGTTTATTGGGAACCACGAATGGTAGGTCAATGATATTTGGAATGCAGTTATATTAGCATTGGCACATCTCATTACCATGGAGATTATTTGACCCCGCCCCCTCAGTTATGGTTAATTGACTTTGAAATTTTGCTTAGTTTACATGTATTAGTTTGTGTTTAGGTTTGTTTAAAGAGAACTACTTATGATAAGTCAATGGTATTTGGTATGCAGGAGATTGTTTAGCCATTTACCTTCAGTCATGGTTTATTGACTTTGATTATTTGCAAAACTTACATGTGAAAGTGTTGCTATTTTAATTTCAACATTTGCATTATCGAAATTACAAAAAAACGAGACATATCTCTGTGATAACAGTTTATTACAAAACTTACATTATAGGTTTATATCAGCAATATCTTGGACAAGTTTTATATGCCCCCTCCGTAGCGGAGGGGCATTAAGTTTTACCCTTGTCCGTCTGTACGTCTGTCCGTCCTTCAGTCCGTACGTCCCAAAGTTGGTTTCTGTTCTCTAACTTTAGTTTGCCTCAACCAAATGTTATAAAAAACTTATACACAATGCTTATTAGCACTAAATACAGATCAAGTTTGAATTTTGGTGGCGTCACTTTTACAGTTCTAGAGTTATGCTCCTTTACAAATGGAAAAATTTCCTTTCTCTAACTTAAGTTTGCCTCAACCAAATGTTATGAAACTTATACACAATGCTTATTACCACAATATACAGATCAAGTTTGAATTTTGGTGCTGTCACTTTTACTGTTCTAGAGTTATGCCTTTACAAATGAAAAAATTGTTAAATATTTCTTTTTTTTCTTCTAAATATCAAGTCAATTTTAAAATTGGAGTTATCTTCCTTTGTCCATGATTATAGTTGAATCAACTGCAATCAATGCTTTATACAATGCAATATTTAATTTTTCCTTCCACTGATAAATTAAAGCAATTTTTACCCTTCATTTTTAAAAATATTTTAAAAAGTAAAATCACAAAAATACTGAACTCCGAGGAAAATTCAAAAAGGAAAGTCCCAATCAAATGGCAAAATCAAAAGTTCAAACACATCAAACGAATGGATAACAACTGTCATATTCCTGACTTGGTACAGGCATTTTCTTATGTAGAAAAGTCTTCTTTGAAAATTGGAGTTATCTTTCTTTGTTCATAATGGTAGTTGAATCAACTACAACCAAAGCTTTATACAATGCAATATTCAATTTTACTTCCTACTGATAAATTAATTTTGTTTCCGTTTTCTATCTTAAGTTTGCCTCAATCAAATGTTATGAAACTTATACACAATGCTTATTACTACATAATTCAGATTAAGTACGAAATTTGGTGGCGACCCTTTTACCATTCTTGAGTTATGTCCCTTCATAAACATAAAAATTGCTGAATTTGTTTCCATTCTCTAACTTTAGTTCGTCTCAACCAAATGTTATAAAACTTATACACAACCAGATATGCGTGTTTAGAAATAGAAAAATTGCTGAATTTTTAGTTTCTGTTCTCTACTTTAGTTAGCCTCGACCAAATGTTATGAGACTTACACACAATGCTAATTACCACAAAACTCAGATCAAGTTCAAATTTGGGTAGCATCACTTTTACCGTTCTTCAGTTATGTCCCTTTATAACTATATGATGTGCAAGCGGGGGCATCATCTGTGTCCACATGTGGACACTATCCACATTTATTTTAGAGTTGTGACATTCATGGAGAGCAATCTCATTATAATTCTGGTTATCCCTTTTATGATATGTATTGCTACACTAGTACTTAGATTAAGACAAGAAATAAACAAAATTTTATTAATGAATATAAGTGTAATATACGATTTTCTAGATCTTGTGAAAACTACATTAGATAATTTCTGCATGTACAATGTATATAGTTGTTGTTTTATTTAAAAGGAGCCCATGTCATTTAAGGAGGCTCGAGGGTACAAAAATTTCAGAAAAAAATTAAACATTTTTTTTTTCATTACAAATTTTATTTATTACTTTATTAGTTGTTACTTTATCATATGGTACAAAAATCATTCAAAAAAGATCAATTCGTTTTGGCCCCAGATGACTTTTAAAATGAATATATCATTGAAAAAGCTCCAAATTATCTCCCTTTGGTGCAAAAATGCCATTTTTTGGCATTAAAATTGAAATATTTTTTTTAACTCATCGGTGACCTATAGTTTTTATTATTTTTTTCAAATAAGCTGTACTCAAACTAAATTATTAAAAAAATTTGAGCGATTTCTGTAATTTAGTTCTTTTTTTATTTTGATATTACCTTTATTCCTCCTATTAGTTCAACAGAAAAAAAGTACCTTTACAAAAATTTATGCTTCTTTCGAAGGCAGATTGTGAGCTCAAATGAATGGTGACCCCATATTTTTATTTTGAATTTTTTAAAAGGTTATGAAAAATATAGCGAAATCCTATATTTAAAAAAAAAAAGATTTATACCCGCAAGCCCCCTTTACCAATAAAAAAAACAAATTTGCGGGAAAAATATAAGAAAATGCTATAAACACTTTCTGAAATAAAACAACTTGTTTCTGTGATTTAAAAAATTGTGTTGGATTTGGTAATTTTTATACGACCGCAAAAATTAAAAATTTTTTGGTCATATATTGGTATGACGTTGGCGTCGTCGTCGTCGTCGTCGTCGTCCGGCGTCGTCGTCCGGCGTCGTCCGAAGACACATTGGTTTTCGCACTCTAACTTTAGTTTAAGTGAATGGATCTCCATGAAATTTTACCATAAGGTTCAATACCACGAAAGGAAGGTTGGGATTGATTTTGGGGGTTATGGTACCAAAAGTTAAGGAATTAGGGGCCAAAAAGGGGCCAAAAATAAGCATTTTTGTATATTCCAGACAATAACTTGTGTGTAAGTGTATGGATCTCTCTGACATTGTACCACAGGGTTCCATATCACAAAGGAAAGGCTGTAATTGATTTTGGGGGTAATTGCCTCAAAATTTTAGGAATTAGGGGCCAAAAAAGGGGCAAAAAACAAGCATTTTTCTAGTTTCATGACAATAACTTGTGTGTAAGTGTTTGGATATTTCTGAAATTGTACTACAAGGTTCCATATCACAAAGGGAAAGCTGGAATTGAGTTTGGGGGTAATTGCCCGAAACGTTTAGGAATTGGGGGCCAAAAAGGGGCCAAAAATAAGCATTTTTCTAGTTTCCAGACAATAACTTGTGTTCAAGTGTATGGATTTCTCTGAAATTGTACTGCAAGGTACCATACCACAAAGGGAAGGCTGGGATTGAGTTTGGGGGTGATGAATCATAAGGGGGTTCAAAAAATTTGGGGGGGGGATTTTTTTTTTTTCTTTTAAAATTTTCCATTTTAAGTTGGTTATTTCTGATTAATATTTAAAAGCAAATAATAATGATATGGTAGGAGATACACACCAAACAGGATGTGTAAATTATTATCTAATAAGTATTGTGCAATAGCAAGAAATTTTCAATTGCACAGTATTGCACAATAGCAAGAAATCTTCAATTGCACAGTATTGCGCAATAGCAAGAAATCTTCAATTGCACAGTATTGCGCAATAGCAAGAAATATCCAATAGCACAATATTGCGCAATAGCAAGAAATTGTCAATTGTACAGTATTGCACAATAGCAAGAAATATTCAATTGCACAGTATTGTGCAAAAGAAGATACTTCGTATAAATTGCTTATTTCTTGATCAATTTCAATGGGGTTTTATTCTTGAATTCTTGGGGTTCTTTAATATGCTGAATCTAACCGTGTATTAAGTTTTTGGATTTTGGGCCCCGTTTTTAAATTGGTCCACATTGAGGTCCAAAGGGTCCAAAATTTAACTTTGTTTGATTTCATCAAAAATTGAATTATTGGGGTTCTTTGATATGCCGAATCTAACCGTGTATTTAGATTCTTAATTTTTGGTTCCGTTTTCAAATTGGTCTACATTAAGGTCCAAAGGGTCCAAAATTAAACTTAGTTTGATTTTAACAAAAATTGAATTTTTAGGGTTCTTTGATATGCTGAATCTAAACATGTATTTAGATTTTTGATTATGGGCCCAGTTTTCAAGTTGGTCCAAATCGGGGTCCAAAATTAAACTTTGTTTGATTTCAACAAAAATTGAATATATGGGGTTCTTTGATA